CGGAAATCCGTGAGGTAAGGCGAGGTGTGCATTTTTAGGGTCGACCTTTTCTAACCCCACCCCTCCTTGTGGGAAGGCAGTATCGCTGTCATGCTGGTTGTCTGAAGGAAACACCTTACCGCTGTCACACCTCTGTACAGTCAGCAGTACGACTTCGCCTTCGGACCTTAGGTTTGTTGCTTTTAGTCTTACCGCTCTTCAACCGACCTGTCTGACATGGTAGGACCTTGAGGAACGGTTGTTCCAGCCAGTATAGCTCGGTTGCTTCATCACGATAGGCAAGCCCGACCACCACGTCAAGGTAGCAACAACGGTCGGGTGGAGTGGCCGAGTGGTCTACTTACTCGATGGTCCCAGGATATACGAGCAATGTTTCAAAGACACCTATAATCAAATACTAGTAACCTACGAATATCCTCTACTCTTACCGGCCATGTTTTAATGTCATAAAGTAGGACGGAACGAACTGCTGTACAGTAAATACGTCCTTTGGTTGACAGACGGATATCTCGCCTACGCCATAAATGACGCAAGTTGGTAATAGCTAATCGAGCCTTCTGTATCCGTGCTGAGATTTCGTCACACACCAGACCACAAGGGCTGATGAGACTTCCAAGATAAGTGAAGCGGTCGACACACTCAACTACTTCACTCCCTATCATTAGTTCGGGTGTCAATGCAACCCAATCCTGAAGCAACATTTTACATTTCGAGGGGAGAATCGCATTCCGAACATGCTTGTATTGATGCTTAGAGTGGTCAGAAGACTCTGCATTTTGTAAGCGTCTTCGCCAAATAAAACTATGTCATCAGCATATTCTAAGTCAACAAGTTAACCTCCCGGTAGAAGTTCAACCCAACGACCGACTGCATCGACGTGCGATGTTCAGTGGTGTAAGAGTAGGTTGGAGGAAAGCTAGGGGCGGCCAGACCAAAACATGGCACAAGTCCATGAAGTCACTGACAAGTGAACTGAGTCATGTTGGTAGGTGTAGACTACCTGGTTGGGGACCGCGAGATGATAGCAACAGATGGTTAGAGACCCTGAATAACATGGCTCAAAATCGTTTGCAATGGCGCAGGTGCATCCACTTTTTGTGTTCTCCCAAATTCTAATCTTCTGAATTCTTCATGTCCCTTTTTTCCTCTTGGGTTTGCATTGACACCCGAACTAATGATAGGGAGTGAAGTAGTTGAGTGTGTCGACCGCTTCACTTATCTTGGAAGTCTCATCAGCCCTTGTGGTCTGGTGTGTGACGAAATCTCAGCACGGATACAGAAGGCTCGACTAGCTTTTGCTAACTTGCGTCATTTATGGCGTAGGCGAGATATCCGTCTGTCAACCAAAGGACGTGTTTACTGCATAGCAGTTCGTTCCGTCCTACTTTATGGCAGTGAAACATGGCCGGTAAGAGTAGAGGATATTCGTAGGTTACTAGTATTCGATCATAGGTGTCTTTGAAATATTGCTCGTATATCCTGGGACCATCGAGTAAGTAATGCAGTTGTTAGGAAACGGGTGCTAGGTAAGGATGGCAAATCAATTGATGAAGTGGTGAAACTTCATCAGTTGAGATGGCTGGGACACGTGTTACGTATGCCCAACGACCGTTTGCCCCGACGTGCGATCTTTCATGGTGTAGGAGTGGGCTGGAAGAAAGTTAGGGGCGGCCAGACCAAAACATGGCACAAGTCCATGAAGTCACTGACAAGTGAACTGAGTCATGTTGGTAGGTGTAGACTACCTGGTTGGGGACCGCGAGATGATAGCAACAGATGGCTAGAGACCCTGAATGACATAGCTCAAAATCGTTTGCAATGGCGCAGGTGTATCCACTTTTTGTGTTCTCCCAAATTTTGATCTCCTTATTCCTCCTTGTCTCTTTTTTTCTCTTCCCAAATTTATTTCACTGTATTATACTCTTTAAGTAACATCTCCAAACACTGATCTTTCCGATTACTGCTTATACTCTTATTACCTCTACCACTACGGGATTTGAATCGACCACTGCATCTCTGTGCTAATGTGGTATGGCAACTCAAACTGATGTACTAACGTGCGTACGAAGTTCTACGTTGTTACTGACTGACTGACTGACCATGGGACTGCATCTTCTGACGTTGCTCCACCACCTTGTGGATTTGACCTTTAGGTCAGTCTCGAGCCCCTTAAGAAAACTACCTGCTTCGGTTTGGGCACCTGGGCAGTATCACAGCCCTCACACAAATTTCATTTGATTTGTGTGGCACATATGTATCTGGTGCCTCCTTGTACCAGTATTTATGTGTTCAAATAAATAAATAAATAAATAACACACATTTTGTTTAGTCTTCCTAATGAGAGCTACGGATGCTATGACTATTTTATCTAGGAAAGAGAGACCAGGGTCCCAGCCAGAAAATCGAAATGTTGAGCTATTTTTACGTAATTTTAGGACCTAATCTCAACCCCCTGAACTGTTTAACGCTAGACGAAAACGTACGATTCGGGGAGCCAATTTTGTTTAAGTACTTTTTCTTTATTTTTGGGAAGGCAGCTCCGCTACATATAAATTATTTATGAAACGCTGCTAAGTCCTGGGAAAATCAGCAAGACAAAATCGTCATAAAATTTACATGAGGTGGTAGGACTTCACACAGTATGTTCCAGTAAGCACAGCCCAATTGGATTATTGAAGTAGGCGGGTCCAGCCACCACGTTAAAGTAGAACCTAGAGTTGAGTCGACTTTTGCAAAGTGCGTTTTATTTTATCCTCACTGGTAGATTATATAATTATTTAGTCATTTACTAAGTAGATGTTTATGCAGTCGCTTTTAAGCAACAGTGTAAAAGCGAGTGAAACTATCCAGTTCTCCAAACCGAATCTAAATTACGTTGGTCGGATAACGAATGTTTTGACAACTAGGTCATCTTGATAGATTGAATGTTGGTTATAATTACAAGTCATTAAAACGACAGAATATGCCCAAGGTGAAGCTCTTAGTGGTCTGAACATAAGGGTCCGCTCGAAATATAACCACAAAATAGTAGTCACATCCACAAAAAATGTAATTTACACAAATGAGTTATATGATAGAGGATCACTAAACGACTAAATATATTTATAAACAGGTGGTAATATAATGAATATGGAAATGATCGTGACAGGGAAAAATGATTTACATAAAAAGAATATTGTTAACGCATACAAATATATGACCAAATAGGATGTAGAGATGAGAGGAAATTGATAGATAAGGTTTACATAAAGTTTATGAATGTGCATATATTTTCCAGTATGAGTGACATTTTGATTAGGCAAAACGGGTTGAAAGCTGAACACTAGAGGTACTGATTTTAAGGGCCATTGAGACTGAAGAACTAGGTAGAAGTTAAATCATAATGCAGGGAGCCTATTAGTACACTTTTTATCCCTTCTGCAAAACTGGGGTGTAATGAGCTTTGGCTTATACGAGCAACTCCAAGCTTATCGACTAGAAATTTCAATCTTCCCATTTCTGCTCGGCTATTTATCAAGCAGCTCTAGTACTTTAAAGAGTCTCAAATGGGCAGTGCTACGAACGTGTCTCCCCGAACAAAAGAGCCGTAAGTGCAACAGTGCTTACTGACCTGTTCTTTGGTATAAGCTTCCTGTGTTATTACTGGTTTTTAATTGTGCATCAGAAAGACGTGATGCCAGCACATCTAACTCGTATAGGGGAAACAAGTTAAACTAGAACCATAAACAAGTTGCGCAGGTGTACGATTCAAACCTTTAACGGCTGAACGAGTCCTGAGTAAAAGAAGTAGTTTGTATTCATTTCAATAGGATATCTCAAGCTGAGTTACCAGCGCTTTTTAGTTGCCATTGGAACCTCTCCACACGTCCGTTAGCCGTTAGATGGCATACTGTAATAATGATATAATGCGCAACCAGGACTTGAGTGAGCTCATTTAACAAACTATGTTGGAATTAGGAACTACTATCTCAAGTGAATTCTAACGATACGCTAAAGTTTGAAACCCATCTGTCGATGAAAACAATCTCGAAAGAGACATTCACAGTAAGAGTAATCGATCATACAATAAAACAAGCCATTGAAGTGAAGATGTAATTGAAACTATTAGATGGGTTCAATGGACTTACCAAGCCAGTGTGTAGGGTATGTCGAATCCTGCTAGTTCGGTGGTTGTATGTTAATCTTACCCCGCTGGAAATGCAATGAATTCTGAAAACACTGCTATATATCAACATTCACCTTATGCTAAACAATTTTCTAACTCAGTGGTAGCACGGATCTCAGGACTAGATGATATATTATGCTTAAAATCTCCATTCCGGAAGGCTGTCGATACAAAGTCAGTATGTAGAAGTGGATGTGTCGCATACAGTTGTAGGACCTGAGAACGATGGTGAAGTACATTTCAATACTAAACTAAATTTTTCCCCACACACTTCTGGACTGTGGCTTGTTTATTATGATAGTTTAACACTTCTAGGACAACGTGTAGCCTCTACGAGGAACTAGACGTGCTAACAGAACGTCTTCTTGTGATCTAATCGCTAGATGTGAACAATTCGAGACCTACAGAACCTTAAGACACGGCACCTAGATAAGATTACACTTCTAAATAAGGAAAGTAACTACGGGGCACCTGACCACATTTCTGAGGTGTTACGCTATATGCTTATTAATAGAAATGTATAACGAACCAAATTGTGTGCCCTTTGAAAACAAATTGAGGGATTTGAAGCCCAGGGAAATTATTGACGGATTCGCAAGGAAATTTTGTTAATGACTTATTAACTTCCATCTCCGCCAATATTGCTTTGAACCACATGATATGACTCAAACCAAAATCATCAAATAGTAATGCATTCAGTATACCCATGCAGTGTATAACATTAGTACATTATAATTCGACTCACATTCACTAACACGATATTATAACAACCCGAAAATTTAGAAATAAAAAAGCTAAGCACGAAAAATCATACAAAAACTTTGTGACGACTCACGAAACTAGCTGGTTGAAACCTTTCCCGCCAGGAGGATGGCATTGAAATATGCTTCAGATATATGTACAGTATCCAATATCTTTCAGATGAGCCTGCACAAAGTGACCGATATCATTACGTTCACTTTCTGGAGCCGCTTCACGGTTCCCGTTGTTAAATGTTGTCCAATGTGGGTATTTCAGGCATTCTGTCACAATTACTCCAGGGAAGTTGATGGGTGAATGAATACGTTTTTTTAGAGAAATAGGAGTTCTAGAAGTAAGAATTATCTTATCGTGGCGCTCAGTAAGCTGAGCCGGATTCTAGGAACTTTGAGACACTATTGAATAATTCAAACTCCAATTTAGTCTTGGATGTGCCACAAGACCAGTAGAATTTACTCCCTCTATATGTCATTACCATGACAGATGTCCCAAATAGAGTGGTCTAGTTTCGAATGAAGTCTTAAGAGCTATCAGTTGTTGGCTCAATAGATGAAAGCCTCGTGAACAAAAAAACCAAGAGTTATTTATTTATGAAGTAGAATGTGTCCTAGATTTCACCTATAGTAAGGAAAGATGACCAGACGCTGCTAAGCATAGCAAGCCACAAAGACGGGCAATCATCGGCGTTCACATGGAATATGGTCAAGATTGGCTGAAATCATGATTGTGTTGCTCCTATGTTTCTCTGCAAGCAACTTCCCCGAGCAAATTGTTCAGAGGCAATCGATCTCTTTATTGAAACTATTACTTCTGGCAAGTATTCTAGCTCAAGTCAATTAGCCAAACATCATAGATATCTCAACGCATTCGACTCTTTTCCCAATATCTAAGCAGCTATCTTAGAAGTTTCGCATTCAGATGATTATGTCTACAATTACATCTCCTTTTTCTTCCGACCACTGCCGTCACTTTCCTGGTTTCCCTTCCGAATGAGGCGTGTATCGTGCAAGCCATTTCGATCGGTAACTTTAGAAAAGAAGCGTACTAAAGTACTGTTCCTAATGAGGTTTTAATCGCGGTTTATTTTACCTCTAAGACTGTGTTACAGTACACTTGTCCCAAAATGACTCGTGCTACATATAATGGGTAAGACTATAAATTGCGCATATAGTACATTTTCGGTAAGTTTTGTGAATCTTAATGGTATTTACGAAGTTCTAAATCTATATTGTGTTCAATAGATCTTCAACAATCAATATTTTAGGCAAACTGGTTCATTGATGATGGCACTCAAAAGTTCGCCAACCAAGTATAACTGGCTTAGCTGTAGCATGAATTATTGGACAGAGTGTATTGAGGTCAGAAGAAATAACTCCGTTTTGAACAGCTCCCGAATCTAAAGATCACAAGTACTTAAGTCTGCCAATTTCCAATTTTATTCTCATCTGAGACCAAATAACTTTGGTCAATCACCAGGTAGAAACCTAGTTTCCAAATCCTATGTGACAAATTCAAACTGTAGTTGAAGATGCTCTGTGACTACAGAAAATGAAATACCAACACTCGGACAGGTTCATTGAATGTAATAAAAATACGATACGCTATGCAGTTACTAACTTACAGTTATTGTCAAGTATTATCTTTTCAGTTACGTAAACGTTTCGCACGTGAAATCTAAGACCTCGGTTGTTCGAGAGCGCAACAATACAGCCATATAAACTTGACGTTATCTAGGAATCGACCAAAACTTTACAAAGATGTCTCAATACGCCTGTAGTGAAATTACGAACATGCGCCATGAATATTATCTGGGGCTATTTTGTTTTGTTGCACAGTATGCTATGAGAAATTCTACGGAAGATACGGGATTATATTTAAATGCTAGGAGGAGTATTTACAAAATTGACAGCTTACGTTTTTCTGTGGGAGAACTTGTGAGACTTGATAACAGTTATTTATATTCGGCGTAAGAATTACAGTATGTTACTGTCTACTTAACAGGAACTTGAAAGCAATCTGTTGACATTAAGAAATGCGATTCATGTTTTACATATATAGCCTTGAGTAGGTGTATGTGTTCCATCAATTGTAGACCATTGAAGGGACTTCTATCCAGCTTGATACTGTACATGTAATGCAAAGATGAGAATATTTTGTTTTGGCTAAATGGATTCTAAACGTAAACTCCTGCGTGGATATGTAGCATTATGTTCTAACACGAAATTACTGTAGTGTCAGTTATTATTTAAAGCCCATATATCTTATTCTAGTTTTCGGACATGCCAATCTATTCATATTATGACCTTGTTAGTTATTCGCTTACCAGTCTTCATTGTTTTTGTATGAGCGCATATGTGTTTACACTTGCCATCCCATTCATCACATGTCTGTAGCATATTTTTGTCTGCCTATAAATATTGATTAACGCCTGACCAAAATATAAACTTGTTTCTTCGTACAGTTTCCACCAGAGGGCACTCCTACCCTTTCCTCCTGGGTAAAATGACTAATCAACTTCACCAGCTCATTTGATATATCTCCCACCAAGTCTAGCTATCAAAATACCAAGCTATTGAAGAACATTCAATCCCTCAATTCAAACTCATCTCACACCTGCAAGGATTACGACGACTTTATTCGAGATAGCCTCACCCTTAGTAAGCCACTTGCCTAAAATATATCTTATCAACGCTCAATCGATCTGCAACAAAAAGATGGATTTAGCGCTGTTTGTATCCATATATCAACCATCACTTATAATGATATCTGAAGCATGGACAAATGGTAATATATCCGACTGAAGTATATCTCTTGATCACTATTTCCTATATAGAAGGGATAGAGTGAATGGACGAGGCGGAGGATGCCTTATCTACGCTCACTCTAGCCTAAACTCACTGCTATGTGATATGCCTGAACTAAACAAACTGAAGGATTCGGTGTGGATTGTATTAAAGCCATCAAATTCCGTTACCTTACTGCTCGGCTGTGTTTATCGTCAACCTAACTCATCAAGAGATGAAATAGCAGTATCATCGGAGGTATTCACACTAGCATCATCCCTTCCAATCACAGGCAAACTTATTTGTGGTGACTTCAACATGCCTGAAATTTCTTGGTTCCCAATCAATGCGCTAAAATGTTATGAATCATTTATTGAATGTCTAGAGCTTGGACAAAACATACGGTGAGTTTCAGCCATAAGTTTCCTGCAATCATAAGGTCATTTTAGATGGCTCGTTCAATGGCTGACACAATTATCTGGATTCATTCGATTGTTTTGATCTGAGCGAGTGGCAACAGCATCAAGCACCCTGGAATTAATTGCCATACTGCATGTTTTATTGTGGATACTTTTGGATCATTACTCCTCACGAATGGCGTTATATGTGCCGTCCACTGAATAATCTAATTTTCAAAAATAATCCAGGCGAGTTCAACTATTTTACTGGATGATTTTTTATGTACTTAACATGTATATGTTTTCCAGTTGCGTTTGCCACATATTTATAATTATCTTTAGGCTAAATGCAGTAACTTCTTATAGAATGCTTATAACGCATCATATTCCTGCCTGAAGTTTCACAAGCAGTCTAAACTTTAAAATTACTTGTCTGGTCATGTTCATTATTTTTAAATCGTCATATACGTCAACAACCTGCATGTTAACCTGGCCCATACATACGTTACACTATATCTCCATGTCTTCTAAATTTAGAAATCATCTGGATTGCCTCTAACATTTATTAATAAACCCATCATAGTCGTTGTTGGTAATCGTATTTGGATTTATGGATTGGTTTATCATATTAGCAGTCTAAAGTGCAAACATAATTTAGATAATAAGATTAAAAATTTAGGTACTATCAACTGCACTAGTAAAATTACTAAATCCTGGGTAGCTGTTGGCTAAACAAACGTTTAAAATCAAAACTCCGTAGCCTACTAGTATTAACACTAAACGAATCTTTCTGAATTATAATTTATAATTAAATTAGGCGTCTCGGATTCTTTAACGTTACAAATTTCTGATGATTTCGAATCACCTAAAGCAACAATACTATTTTTCCACTGACTAATCTTCAATCAACACTATAACTAATTAAACATAATAGTTTCAGGATATCTTCATAAAGCATTGTCATGACTTGACAATCTCGTAATATGATTGATAAAATTAATGAAACTATTAACAAAATCGGTCAGCAAATTGACTTATAATTATCACTAGTGTTGTTTTTCTTCATTCACTACAGATGATTACAGTATGTTTCTCTATCAGTTGCTCATTCAGTAAATATCTCAAAACTTTGTCAGTCTAATTGATGGTTTAGCGACACAATCATGCATGCAAATAATCAGTATAAGCAGTCGAGCAAATATCCTGCAAACTGAAAACATCAATGTCGAATTTACCCCAACACTGACTAAGGTTCAAGCTATTATCATAGGCATGAGTTGGGAGTGCACTCCCCTTGGTTACAACTTATGTTCTCCCTGATAATCACATGAGCATCACTCACTATTAATCATCTTGTAAAAAAATTATTTAGCTAAATACATCTTGCAGCACATCACTTAGTAATATGACACATGGGCTTAGCTGATTTTAATAACTTATAACCACTATATCTCAATTAAGTCGTATTCTGCCTTCATACGTGCAACTAACTTGTATGTCCAATCAGCCGGCAAGTATAAATATAAATAAATAGTCTGCCACAGATCAGAACATTGAGTCTAGAGCATGTCTCTTACGAATACACTCATGTTTAACGATTTGTTCTTAGCTATCTGTCCAAAACTCATATAATTTTCACTCATGTATTTAAATTTTGTTTTGATAACCATTCATGTGTATTAGTAGTATTACTAAATTCTATCACGGTCAGGTAAACATGGGGTTGAAAAAATCTCCCCGTAACTAAATAAACCGTATCAAACTAACTGGAACACTAGTTGGAATTCTTCTCCACGGTAATGCTTTTGTTCCTTCAGTTAGCCTACTAATACAGATGCAATTGGAAATCGACTCATATGGACAACTTACCGGCATAATCGTTATTTGATTTCATAAGTTAGACTAAAAGTGGTACTAATATTAACATTTCTACAATATTCATAATTTTAATATTTCTAAACACAAAATACATACTACCTATACGTTAAGTTGTCAACCAACGGCTATTACACACGCATCGTTTTATTATTACTATTATTGTAATCCCATTTTTTTTTATAGCTCAAATAATCACTCAAATTTTCATTGTAAGCGTTTTAAGCATGAAGGCAG